ATCGTTTAGACATGTAGAGGCGAAGATATATAGTCATGTGATGAGCACTCAACCAAATGAAATGTAAACTACGAATCATAATACTACGTCTTTTTGTGTGTTATTTACAAATACGTATAAAAATATATATACTGACATCACCAGCACATATGTAAATGTATAGCACAGAGAGGTGTTTACACAAGTGTAAGACCGCATTCATTCCGTGTTGTTGTTTAAATTTCATTGTAATGGAAATTTAAATTCACAGTCTCGCGAACTAATATTTATTTACTGTACAATTTTTTAACACATAACGGTCTCTATGGGACGAAGAGTCTTATTATGTCGGACATACACCGACTAGAACCCCACCGAGGTAACCAAAGGCGTTAACTCTAAGTAGGTCCTAGCTGTATTTAATGAAATTTTGCAATGAATCGTTAAAACCACACGAACATTGATGTAGTAAACCTAAAGTTTCAAGAGGTTTATTTGACGGATAGTTAAAAAAATGTTATTAAATCTTGTAATAAAAGGCAAGTTAACATATGTTAGGTCCCCTAGTTTTTTATTATGTATGCAAAAGTTTCGAGTCGCTGCAATACCACTTTACAACTGTATCTTAATACAAAATGATAATTGAATAACATCCACAATAACATTTCAAACAAGCGTGGTACTGCGCGTTCCGTCACGAGGCAACAACGGAGTGGGGGCATAAAGGGCGAGGTCTGCTGCAGACGGCTGCTGAACTTAATCTCATTGCTACGTAACGAAATGTTAACTGTTTGCTTTGAGTCAATTACTTTAAAGGCAACTCATATGAAACTCGAAGCTTATGTTTAATGTTGAACATTTAGAGATTAATGTGATACTTAACAACTTTTATTTAACAATTAGACATGAAATACTTCGTAGCTAGTCTAAGAGATGCTACAAATGTCAAAGTCATGCAATAATAAAATTAATGTTAGAAATGCGAAGAAAAATAATACGAATTTGATTTTAAGAATAACTATTGAAATTAACAATTATGACTGACCATAATTTATTGACAACACAGTTCTAATAAATGGTGAAAATATTTATGTAGTTGCAGTGTAGTATATGGTATAGCATATATACCAAAAAGTCTTTTTAAAGCTTTTCCTAAAAACAGTCTCGTTAAAGTAAGTGGCCACTCTCTTTTCGCGTGCACTATTAATTAAGGTCATGTTAGACAACCTTGACTTTGTCGTGTAAACGACCTTTTTATGTCCGTGAATAGCGCGCAATTAACGCGCGCGCTGACATTGACATGCCGCCATTTTGTTGTAGATGCCAACACTAACGGGGTCATGAGGGTAAAGTAATGCTTCGACTCACGTACTGGAAGCATACAGGTAGATATTTCGCCGATCTTTGCAAAATAAATTAATAAAAAAAAAGATATTAATTTACTTTCATTTAACCATCGATAAAATTAGAACGTTTAATCATATTTCACATCTCATCAAACCTTCAAATTAATTTTAACGTATGCAAGACAAAATAGCTTCTGAATAAGTCAAGATTATTTTTAAAGACAACATTCTTGATTTGAAGCTGTTACGATGGAAAAGGGTACGGGTAGCGACAACAGTAAGTACGTTGAAATACGCTCATTGCTTATTTAAGAAAGTGCACAGAACCTCGCGAAATTACTTCATCTGGAGCAACGTCTCAGCTAGAGGGCCTCGGGCGCTCATTATAACTGCATAAATGGAAGACAAACACAAGAGAGCCGTTAAACAAAAACGCGAGTTATTGTTCTTCAGCAGTGCCTCATGCAGAGGCGATGCTGTGCGTCTACACATATTCTTGTCGTCTTAAAGGAGTATAGCAATTTGCTTCGAGCAAATGAATTGTTATGTAAATCTGAAAAACATAACTTTTCAGTTTTCGTCAGTATTCATTGATAAAAATAATAATTAAGGATATTTACGATTTTTATAAGCTTATTGTGTCAGCTATCTTAGGCAGACACAATGCTATATTATCTAGATAAAAATTTACTATCAAGTAAATGAGCGGGTAATACAGAACTTATTTTTAGTATTTTGTCCTCTCCTAAATCCATAAAAATATCTAATTTGTCCTTGAATGACATAATGTGTGATAAATCGTTTTTAATCCATCAATGTTGGACATATATTGCGATGAACAAACACATAAAACGCCATGCGTTTATATCCCGGGCTTATGGCGCGCAGTGTTGCTCTATACAATAATGGTGGCTTCACATCGCTGTCACAGCGTCTTTATGGCGGGTCGTCGCCCTCACGAGCCTCGGGTACATTGAATCTATTATCCAACCTAAATCTTTTCATCCCCAATTTACGATCCTCGAAGATGTTATGAGATTTATGCAAAATAAAACACAACATTATCGCTGATTGGGCTAATACAAATTTATCTTGGAGTTGGAAAAGTAACTGCCGCATTAAAATCTCTTAGAGAATATACGCTACATTGTTCCATGGTACATAATGTAGTTAGGTAACAGAAAAAAAAACTTGGCAATAATTAATAAAGCATCATTAAAACTTCGCAACTCCGGTGCAAAATTTAGAAATAACTCTTCGCTTTCATTAAACAACAACAGCGAAGTTGCGAAGTCGAGTTCTCTCGTTGTTTATTTAAGAAATTATGCGACGCGGAGAGAAATTACTCAGGAGCGCGTCGAAGTTCTGCTGCAGCGCCGCCGCCCGCTGCGACCTCTACTTACTTAATTAATACATGCAAACTATGTAGCCATGTGTTAATGTTTCTTCATGTATGTACATTCGTTTACAATCCCTTAAAAATACATTTGCCAGCTGCATTGTTTAATAACTGATAAGTAAGGGTCGTCTATTTATAAACACGTGATTTTAGGTATAGGTAGAGAGGTAGTCTAAAATCTTACAAAATATCACAAGAGTGGTGGTAGGGCTCAAAAAGTTGCTATGAAGAACATCTGATTAATGCACGTCTTCGAACTGCAGAGAAAGAATTGTTTCTTCAATACTAGCTATCTTCAGTAATTACATCCGCTGAAGAAGATATCCAAACTTTGGCTGTTAGGAATACATTCAAGGCATAGTTTAGGATTTTGTATAATAATAAAACACAATGTAGACATACACCATTTATTATTGTTACGATATTAAAAGCGATACATATATACCTTCAGTGAATACATTGCTACACGATACACGATCATCCTGACACTAACATTCATTTGACTGTGCTGTTTTACCGACATCGATAATCTACTGTTCCACATTTATATCTAACATTTAATATTTATCTGAAGACATTTAATCTATGATTTACTCCAGAAAACACAGATATCAAATGGAATCTAGAAAGTGGTTTAAAATGTGGTGGCTAACAATTTTTCATATGTTTAATGGAAAATAAAAATTGTCTAAAATATTGCAAATGGTGACAAGATATTGGTCAAAAGTAATTAAAATAATAACACATAGATGATAACACGGTGAGCTACAAATTTAAGATTTTACTTTGAAATTCATTCTGACGCGTATTAAAATAATCTTTAGCTTGTAAAATAGCATTGAAATTCATTTGGAAAAAAATGTTTAGCTAACATTAATTCCTACATCAACATCTAAAATCTACTCATTTTCTATTTGGATAAATATAATTTCTATGTATTATTATTTTAAGTTAGAACCGAGACGCAGAGTTTGAGAATCACTAATAATGTGGCAAAAATTCAACATATTCACTGTCGCAAACACACAATATCCTATTCAAATCATTTTATATTGATTAATTTTAATTCCATTCGCACAAACAAACATACAATGCGCGTAAATATATATTAATGAACTCATCTTCTATTCTGCTCGTGTGCTGTTTTACCGACATGTCTCACCGACACTGACACTTGTATATATTGTCGTCTCTGTCGTTGTTACACAGAGTGAAAGAGATGGCAATATGTGTTGACAAGCGTCACTGCAGTAGAGTTTTACATTTAGACGAACTGTTTTATCGACATTAACCAAATTAATTTAACAAACAAGTATGTAAAAATGTTGTGTTCCGAACTTGAATCTCACATCACATTAAATCTCAATGTTTTATATGATAGCCAGAGTAACAAATGTATGTTTATTTGTGGAGTGTGTAACACGGAAGTCATTTTCATGTACTGTTTGTTGCTTTCAAGTCTGCTTTTTATTGACAAAGTTTAGATGTGGCATGAAACCGGCGAAGATGAGTTCCAACGTAATATAAACTACAAATACATTAATATATACGTTAAAATAGTATATATTTATTATTTAATATGAATGTGTCATGTTCCCTCACTAGAGATGAACTGTTTGTTACAACAGAAGTACGTCGCGTGTCATTCTTGTATACTAGAACATGACGTCTCGTTCGTTATAGTCGATGTTATCTTGTTCGCTGATGAACAAGTGTAGGCTACACAGGCCGCGGGGGACTGTGCCGTGTTGAAGCCACAATGCCTTCCCTCTGCTACATAGTACAGTACAATAGGCCATCTTAGAAACAATTATCTAACGCTAAACCCGACCCGCTGCTCGGACTATATAAACTTGGGTAACGACAACTAATGTTTTACAATGAAATAATTGCCGGATTATAAATAAGAGAAAAGGTTGAGGTGTTGGATGTGGTGGAGGTGGATGTGGTGGAGGTGGTGGAGGTGGTAGGGGTGGTGGAGAGGTGGCGGCGGCAGCGGGCCGAGCTGCAACCACAGAATTACACAAAGAAGAGAACGTAACCGAGGAGTGAACGCGGGACACCTTCGCTCTCCCGAGCGGTGCGAGCGAGCTCGTTACCTCTGTACCATCGCAGTCGGCTTCACATCGGCGCGACATCACCGCGACATCGCCGCGACATCGCCTCGACATCGGCGCGACAAGAACGCGAGCTGCGGCCCCCGGGCGCGCAGGCCGCGAGGCGCGGGCGCGGGGGGGCGCGGGGGGCGCGTGGTGCGGGGCGGGGCGGGGCGGGCCGGGGCGCCGCCTCGCTCACACCCACGCCATCCAGCCTTCGTACATCATGCACAGGTTCTCTGCGCTCGTCGCTTCCTTTATCACGTGCTCCACCTGCACAAGTCACGAGGTCAGCGTCAGCCCGCGTGCAGACAGACACGCGCACACACACACACACACGCGCGCAGCACTACCTGCTCGTGCGGGGCGAGCGCGCGCCGCGGCTGCTCTCCCGCGCGCCCCTCCAGCTTCAGCCGCACGCGCTTCCACACGCCCGCGCCCATCGCGTTGCGCTGCTCGCCGGACCCGCCCCCGCCTCCGCCCCCAGCACCGCCTCCTGCCCCGCCCCCTGCAACACATACACACTTAATACGTCTGCCACATTTATTCTAAGTACAAAAAGTAAGAAAATGTACATAGTAATCGCCTTACCGTGCTTCGAGTTGGGAGCGGGTTTAGATGGCGTCGTGACCGCAGCCTGCCTCGTCAACTTTCGACCTTGCTCCGTCCATGTGTTAGGAAGTCTGGCGCAAAGAGGTTCAAATTAAATACCATTCAGTAAATGTAAGATATCTTACATAATTTGAATGCGACCGACTGTTTGAGTGCGTCCCGCAGCGCGGGCAGGTCCCGCTGCAGCGCGGCGGCGGCGGCGGCCGCGGCGACGGGCTCCACGTCCGGCTGCGCGAGGGCCGCCAGCAGGTCGCCGGCCGCGCGCCACCGCGCCCACAGCTCGTGCGCCGGGTCCGCGTCCGCCGGCGCGGCCTGCAGCGGCGCCCGCAGCTCGCGCTCCAGCTGCGCCCGCGCCGCCGCACCGCTCTCCAGCCGCGCCGCCGCCGCCCGCACCGCCCCGCGCGCCGCCTCGCACCGCGCGCGCCCCGCCACCGCGCCCGCGCTCACCCCGCTCGCCATCTCGCGAACCAGCAGCGACACCGTCTCCACCTGACCGGACCGCACGAGTTATTTGTTGCGATCGAACGGCACGACCTCGCCGCCACCTCCCACCTCC